AATCGTGTGTAAACAACTCACACACAAAGACGGTTTGTGTAAACATAAGCTCTTTTGTTGATACGATAGAATGACTAACTCTCGCCGTATCACATCCTACTTCTTACGAGATATATCGAACCTAAAATTCTCGAAGCTATTGTGACATGTCCGGCTCAAAGGACCAAAATTCGTACTTATTAAATCTATTTCTATACTAATATATTTAAGCGTAAATACATACTACATGTACTAGGATGTCAGCGATCACAGCATATTTTTGACTGATTATTTCTTTAATAAAAAGCCCTACACTTTAGTCTATATATTTTCACGCTATTAAACTTAGGGGGTAAATTAAAAAAAAAACCTTCATGTGGGAAAGGGACCATAAACTACAGGCTGCCAACATCAAGGAAGCAATGCTATGGTACGGTAATTGGTATCCAATGTTAGAGGCCTTCGTTGTAATTTGTGCATTTGAATTTTGACATTTACAATTGAGAATTTGACACAGGTAAACAATAAAATAAAGTGCGGGTAAGCCGCACGGGAACTTCTAAATTTGACAAGATTCTGTCATCTCATTTTCCACTTTATGATTCAATCACGCATATTTCGTAATGTTTATATTTACATTATGTGATCTCACGGCCACTATAAAAGAATGCTTGCTTACATAACGCTTTATAAAAGATAAACAATTTCAAACTTCGTTACGTATTTTAGCAAATCTATATGTAGGAAACTGTATTGTCTTATAAAGTCCAGGGAAATTGAAACTTTGACTTAAATAAATGGAAGTGGTATTTATAGATGAAGAAATTAGAAACATTTTATAGCACACGAAACTATCGCTTCTTGACTTCAAACATAAGAACCAAAACAATTTATTAAAATAAATACAATTCATATAACACAATCTTTAATAAAAAAATAATACAGACATCTGATTCGATGAAATCCGATCTTATACCGCTTAGCACTAATTAGCTAAGCCTGCAACGAGATTGTACGGGCCATTATCTCTTCCATGATAATTTAACGTTTACTATTGTGCATGTACAATGTACGAAGCCAAGAGTAAACAACTGTTTATCAGACTCAGTCACGGACGATGTAGGTAACCATGCCAAGGTACGTCTATTAAGAACTTGTTGATCATGCTTTGAAATCATGATTTCTATAGAAATTTCAGAACAATAAAGTACCGTTTTTTAAGTATTCTGTATTCTTAAGATTTGTGTAACTTTGTTATTATGAAAATTGACTCTGTAGTGATACAATAAGGCTCAATTTCGAGTGCACGTACTACATACTGGCTGTAGTTATTTTATTTTAAATCTGACGATTTTACAGACGTTATTTGTACTTACTGAAGTTGTTAATGCCTCAATAATTTTATTACGAATTTATGTTAACTTAGTCGACATGAAAAAAAGGCAGTTTAACTTAACGTAGATACGTTTTCAATCCCCTAGATCTACAGTTGTACGGCATCGTTAGCTCATGCAGAAGGAATTAGTCCTTACAAACAGTTAAAGCCTTTTGTAAGTAATTTAGTTCAGTAATTTTCATTTAGTTGAAAATGGTCTATTGCCGATTTTAATCATAGTTTATTTATATAAAAATATATTCAGCTTATATTAGAATAACGAAGAAACATTTAATTCTGCCGTTCTCGCTTCGCATTGCCGCGCTTTCAGAACATTTCTAGAAATTAATCTTGTTTAATGAAATGAATTTGTACGTTTAATATCGGGAAGATGATGTATTTGCATTGCTGATAACGCAAATCGCATTTAAAACATGTCTGTCTGTCCGAAAGCCGCGTATGTTCCGGGCAATCTCAAACGGCTGGGCCGATTTCGACTGTCCTTTCACTGAAGGGCAGATGACTTTTTATATATATTATAGGCTACTTTTTATCTTAATATTGCGTGGAAGAAGTCGCGGGCAACAACTATTATTAAAATGAACTTCATACGTTTTTCAAAATGTTATCAAGAATATTCTCTACGTTGAATCACTTTTTACTCGCGACCTTATTTAAGAGAAAGTCGTATTTTATTAACACTATTTTAAACACATGCATTATTGGTATATTACGAATTTTAACCTTCTTATAAAGAAACCTTTCACATCATTTACATTCGATTTAATAAAGATTATGTTGAATATAACATTGTTATTATTGCAGTAGTTAAATATCAAATCTCTAACAAAATACACATAACCTCAAAATTTTAACCGTAAATTCAACGCCCACTTTTGCACATTACTAGCAAAAAATAATGATTGCCAAGAAATAGACCGGTTGTTATTTTGCAAAGATTCATAGAAACGTGAATCATCAACAAATGTAGCTATTGTATGAATTTCTAGAAAAACAAATTAAGAAAACGCAGCGCGAATGCATAAACCAATTCTGTTATAACCATAATGTGTTTGGTATCATGAACAAATAGACACATAAGTTACAAAATAATTATTAAATGTGTAATTACGGCTATTAAATATATCCGACATTTCTAATAATTTGTAACGACTTAAAACGATATAATTATAATTTTAATAACTACGATTTCCTATCAAATAAATACCAGATAATCGAACTCAATTAAGAAAACTTGTTCGTGAGTAATTTTTACAATAATTACTAAGGCAATTTATGTTCACTAACGTATGACATAAAACCACTAACTTAGGTTACATGCCTATTTAACTGAACAGTGTGACAGTTTGTAAACTTTTGTAAATCTATACTATTATAATAAAGCGTAAACACACACTTCTTTGTTGCCTAAGATGTCAGCAATTACAGCATATCTTTGAAATTCTTTTTTTTAATAAAAAGCCCTACACTTACGTCACGCTTCACGCTATATATTTCACGCCATTAAAATTAGGGGGTAAATATTTTGAATAAAAACCCTTATGTGGGAAAGAGACCATAAGTTGCTGCAAACATCAAGGAAGGTTGCCATGGTTTGTCATAATGTCATATCATTTTGACATTTGCAATTGATAATTTGACACATGTAAACAACAAAATAAAATTTTCATAATTCTATGCAGATGAAGTCGCATGGGAACAGCTAGTGATATATATTTATGCAGTTAACTGTACAGTTAAACCTGAACATGCGTATCCAGCTTTAAAATACGTATCATTGTTCCGTGACAAAAGATGTCAGTTTACTGTTAGATATCAAATTAAGTTTAACAGTTTTTAATATGTTAGTACATGTTACGTACGTTATAATTAACGTACGTGAAACATTATATGTGCAAAAGTATATTGTATTTCAGATTTCCTTACAGAAAATATGGATTACTTATTGAAATTTTACATGTGCTCAAATCTTTAGTTAAGGTGTGTAGATAGCAACATCTCCTTTATCTTTCGCAAATAGCTCATGTCGATCAACACAACACTGAAAATTTGTCACTTAAAGTAATGGAAATCATAGCGGGAAATTATTAAAAAAAATAAACAGTATTCTTACGTTTACAATGTTACATTCATATGTTTAAAACCATAAATATTGAAAACCTCTTCTTGTTGCTATAAAAAATGGAAGTAATGTCTTTGCGTAATTACTGTTTTGTTGTAGAGTAGCTGGTTAAAGCATGTTAGTCGGGATTTTTATATTCTTAGTATATACAAACAATAATAGTGTTCAGAAACAATAGACAATTGAAGGAAATTTATCATCTAAGCACATAATATAAACCGGTAGTAACTACTTAAAGGCGTTACAATTGAATGCAATATGAAGTTATGTAGTAAAATAAATCATTAGTATTCCTATTTATTACACTACTAGCTGTCGCCCGTGACTCCGTACACGCGGAAACTAATAACTTATTTAATGTCCAATGTGTTCTTCAAGACTACGTTTTACAACAAGACAATTTTTCAGCGTGATCTTCATGGATATATGTAGTAACAATCATCCATACATCTATTTAAACTTTCGAATTATCACCTCGAATCCGTTCGCGTGAAATTGAAATAAAACAAAAGTGAATAGTCTATGTGTTCTTCCAGACTCTCCTCTACATCTATACCAAATTTCATCGAAATCCGTTTAGCCGTTTATGCTACAGTCTCTAACAAACATCCATCCATCTATGTAAACTTTCACGTTTATAATATTAGTAAGAAGTAAGATTACTTATTTCAAATCTGTGAATTTCAACTACTGACGCAATCGTTGATGTCTTTTATATGACAAATAGAATATTTTCACGTGTTTTTGAAATTTCCATTATTTTACTATCAAGATACTTCAGTGACTTTTAGAATCGTAGACGTTTTAATATTGATGTAATAAAAATAAACAAAGGCATTTCAAAAACAAAATTAAAACTTTTCTTTAACCAAGTTATTTATTTGATATCTAACATGTCAAGGTTTCGATCACGTAAATACAAATCATAACAAAACAACTAAACAGTAAGGCATCAATAGCCTTCAAAAAGAAGCGTCTAAATTGAACCTTAATGCTATAAAAATAGAGTACATTTTTATAAAAATAACCCGTTTATTATACGTACATATCTACAATGTAGACATATTCACGATAAGATGTCACAGAACCTCTTCTCAAATAGTTATTTTTAAGTTCGTCATCTTTTTATAATTTCAATGATTAAAATTTCACTTTTTTCATTAGTTTTTTATGTTAATGTACCGTAAAGGGGATAGTGCACAATAGAATAACTTTGTTGCACCTGTGCATCCATTGATGGGGAACAATACACACACCGCCATCAATGTTATAGTCAATGGGCGCAGTCGATCATGTTTACAACTTTCTATGGGAAGTGGGAAATTGGGCTGCCATTGTTTGTTATACAAACTGTCAATATTAACAGCTATTTCTACATTTTTCATTCGAGGATAAATAAACTCTCGTCGTAAGACAGAAATGGCGGTAAATGATAAAAGTTTGAGAGAAAACAGCACTTAAAATAAACTAACATAATTAGAATCTAAAGAATGTACAGTTCACCTCGCATAACTATTTGCGTTCCTCTGCGTAACTTTCTTCTGCAACGGTAAATTCAGTCTAGTATTTCGTACGTTACAGTAAACACGAGATAACTGACACGACCGACGGTAACATTTTGAACACAGTCGTTTACTTATTGGAAAAGAATCTCATTAGTGTACCCTCGCTTATCGAGTGTCATAATTCACGAGTAAATACAAGAGTCTACGTGGAAGCGATCCCGACAGATCTCGATTTGGAACGAAGGTGCGCGTGAGTTCACGCGGCCGATGGATCGTGTTTCGTTGCAGTTAGATAACACACGGTGACTTAAGTCATCTGACCGCAAGTAAACAATCGTAGGTCACAATGTCATCTCACGAAATTTACCGTTAACATCCGCCGCTGCGAGTAGCTCGGTCAAGCGGCCGCACCCGCCCTCATATCACCACACACACGGTATAGGCACAAGGTTTGATCACTGCACATGGACACCGGTCACTGATCCTCGGGCATTTCGTCCGCATTCGGTATTGTACACTAGGGCCGCGTCGACTGCGCACAGGACCACCAAATGCGACGGACCGTGAACGTTAACCTACCTGTGGCGCTTGCGTGTCGGCTCCACCGGACCGGGGAGACTGTTTTACCGACGCCGCCGCCGCCATTGTTAATACAACCTTACAGAAAAAATAAACATTGCTATTTTATACATAGCCTGAAAAAAACTGCTGTACTTATAAATTTTTATTTAGTAAACCCTTTATCAGTCTTAATGTATTGTTAAAATTGTTTAAAACTGTTGATCTAATGAAATAAACAGCGTAAAAGCCTTCAACTGTTTTATCCACTTGCAAGCGCCATCTATATTTATTCATTGGAAAATTAAAATGAAAACTAACAACAAATAACACTTTTGGTGTCATCTATGGTGTTGATTATGAAATAAATCAATTATTTTTGAATAAACCGATTTATTTTATGCTATTAAACTAAAAATAAAATATTTTGAGTAAATTTATAGGTTATGAAAACTTATTGATGTTGAAGGTTACTCATAGATGGCGTTACTAATTTACAACGAAGCCTTATTTTTCAAATCCAATAAGATTGTATTATTATTTTATCATGTGAGCTAATAATTCAAAACAAAGTCAACAAAGTTGAAAAACAAAGGCGTAATAATAGTTACATTGTGTGTAATTACACGATGTTTCAAACGGATCGTGGAAAATGCAAAAGGTTGCGTATTAGTCACAAATGTGATAGACCCCGGATTTAAAATACGTAAACATTAAAAGGTTGGAGACACACTGGTGACGTTTATTGTATATTTATTTATTTTATAAGAAAATTTGGACTGTTACTGTAACTAGTAAACAAGAAGAATTTAATAAAAAAAAAACAATTAAAAAGTTGAACAAATATTAAATTTTAACAAGAATTTATTTGCAGGTGTCGTTGACGCTGAATAAGTGACAAGTTTCCTCCCTGTCATTAACGTAATAATTTTAATTAGAAAGGGATAACTGTAAAATTTGAAAGACTAAAACACAGCTGTAGTCTTAAACGAGTGACCATATATTGTGAGAGGTTTGAATTTACCATTCTCCTTAAAGAAAAAAACACAACGAAGGCCAATTGGTAAGTGTAACAAACTCTAAAATATGAGATCACATAAAGTCATAAAACAGCTAGTTTTAGCAACATCGGAAACAGGAATCGCACAGGAAATACGTCACGTAAATTCGATTAGAAACCCTTACCGTAGAAAGGGAAATTCACTGAGTTTGTACATAATTTTAAGAACATCTATCTCATCTTTTTTATAAAGAAAGAAAGAGATATTATTTACGTGACATTTAGATATTCATAATTACGCTGATAAATAAAATGTATTACAAACACTTTGTCACAATAATTGTACGCTAAGTCTATAGTAAAATTTCATTCATAATCTAGAGTAGTCTATGCGTATTGACCTAAGATTATAACTTAGTCATAAATATTCATTGTTCCATTTGTTCGATCGCAATTCATTTGTACGCCAATGTCAGCGATGGTAATTATATTTATTATTAGCTTTCGCCCGCGACTTTGTATATGGAATTAAAAAAAAACAAAAGTAAGTAGCCTATGTGTTCTTCCAGACTATCCTTTACGTCTATGCTAAATTTCATCAAGATCCCTTCAGCAGTTTAGGCTACAAACTCTCACAAACATCCATCCAATTAAACTTTCGCATTTATAATATTAAGAAGTAAGATTCATTTATGATTGTGGTTTAATAATCGTTTTATATACGTTGATATTAACCTGTAAATATTGTAACAGATTCTATTTTTTTTAATTTAACAAGATATTAGAACAAAAATTCATAATCTATAAAATAGACTTCTTAGCTAGACTGTTGAAATTATAAAATGTACTCTAGAAAGGCGTATGTCACTGAACATTTTTAGTTAACAAACCCATTGGGTAATTTAAAACAATTTGTTTGTCCTTCCCTAATAAACAGGTATATTAGATTAATATTAAGTAAATCAATTATTACAAACATAATTACAAACATGATTCACGTCCCATTCCTGTTTCATTCTACGTCTCCGGATATAAAGCCGGAATATCTAGCCAAATAACAATCTTGAATGTTGTTATTTAATCACTAATGGTAATATTTATATCGATAAAATATCATTTGCAAATATTGTCAGTAAGTTTGCATAAATATATTAGCAATTTATTGCCAAATATAACTTGCACATAATGCAAATTAATGAAATAAATATCATGTCTTTGACTATTGAGATACGGACTACGAATCCCCATTGCACTAAATACGTATTCCCAGTTTTGACAGGGGTTAAGTCAAGATAATACACATGTGCATATCATCTTGATACGAAAAATTGAAACAATATTAAAACTGTAAAAATATACAGTTACTAAACTAAAACATTAAAACAAACTAGCAAATAAAAAATGTGTATTTCTATTTGCCAAATGTGTGCGCTTAACAGATCCTGTCTCTTAAAAGTCAAAGCCTTGTGTATAACATCGTAATAAGAAAATAATGCCAAGAACGAATTCCTTCGATGCCAAGAGCGAATTCTTATGACGCCATGTGTTTATTGTTTAGAACTCAATGATAAATAAATAATTTATGATCAAACAATGCATTGGAAAAAATATTAATAATGTAAACATTTGCGATAAACATGTGTCTTAACTTAAAATTCTACTTTTTAAATAATTCTATAACACCAAAAAATTACCCTTAATCCAGTTCAAATCTTGTAAAGGAATAGATTTATGTTTTGCTTGAGTTACTATTCATGTTGCTTTTCTTATATTTGTTTCAATTTTAAAATTACCTCATATTTATCTAAATCTTCTTGTGGAAGAGAGAATGATTAGATGCTGAATAGCTTTTATTTTTTTACAGCCAGATGTTTTGTTCGTCGTATTAGCCAAGCCTGCATCCGTTAACTGGATCTTTTCCTTGACACTTAATGTTCAAGTTTTGTTATTCTATGTCACTAAATTGTCCATATCAATCTGTCAATATCAAACTGGTAATGTTAATTATGACCCCCTCGCGAATGTGGTCTGCGGGTCATATCTCATAAATATGTGACATCCGTGAGCTCTGCAATTTTAGCATCGTAATGAGAAACGTCGCTGACTTCCGTGTTCGTCTTTAATAAATAAAACATTATAATTACAAGCTTCCTTTTATGTACGCCATTAATTACGGCCTTTGTGTTTTTTTGTCATATTTATTTACTTAGTTTAAATTTTAATCGAATTCAAAAAGCAAGAGATTGTGTCAATTGTGTGATCCATAGTCCCGTAGATTAACAAAATTGAATTAAAAAAATATCTTCTGTCTTCAATATGTTTTGAGGTTTTATGTTCAATTTCATGCTAAAATTATTAATCTGAATTAAAAATTCTTACAAAACAAATTAAAGAAATTTATTAAACCATAAAAATGTTATGTTAATTAGACACATAATATTACAGTTTTTTAATAATTCATAAGTAGATATTAATATCCTTGGTGAATGGAGCTGTAGAAATAGTTTAGTAATGAGTCGATATTCGCATCTCCAACTGTTAGTTCCGGCTTGGCAACAAATACTATACAAGTCAATATTAATACGCATTAATATAGCAATATTTAATAAGCTACCAGATCTAAAAATTATACTAAAATATTCCAACTTTGTACATTTTAAAAACTAATGAGGGTTCTCTCTGTAATCTCTGTAGATTCCTAAAAATGCGCTGACCTAAGCCTGCCATTATACTTTGTAACTTTTCTCGGCCAGTTATATTTTATTTATCGGAAGAACTCATTCCACAATACTAGAGGAACTGCGAATGCATCCATCTACCTTCGATATTAATGCGAAAGTTTAGATGGATGGATGTATGTTAGAGTTTGTAGCCTATACGGCTGAACGGTTCTTGACAAAATTTGATATGGATCTAGAGGACAGTCTGGAATCACTTTTGTTTTTTTTTATTTCACGCGAACGTAGTCGCGTGCGAAAGCTAGTATCTCTGTAAGTATAAACGTTATGGTTTATTTAGTACAAGTAAGCATTAGTAATTTTAGCCTCGTAACACATTACTACTATCTAACCTTTTTATCCGATATCCATTCTGTGTTAACAAGAATAATTTCTTTTACTATGCATATGTATTTCATACAACAAAAATAAAATAAGGATATTAATAAAAAATAAATTAAATTCGGATTTTCAAACAATATTATGATTTCGTGACTGCCAATTAAATGTTATTATTTTTTAACAGATTATAAAATTGACAATTGTAAAATTCACCATCCGCCATATTGAAAAAATTAAATGTCATTTTTTAAAGATGGCGGTTAAACATAGGTACTTATTCGGTTGCAACGTAGATTGCTTTTACTTAGCGATGGCACGATAATATTTGACCCGGATCAGAGTTAGTAGACGGAGGAGCGCGGAACTTTGTTTCATCAATATTTATGAGATACGAATGCGCACAAAAACTCCACATCCGTATTATTTTGACTAGTCGTGTACCTTATTCCGCCTGTTTATTGTAGAGTACTTTTTATTACTCTTGTATGCCAGTTGCATCATTAGATATTTTATCTAGAAAAAATTTCTGAAACGATGTAATTATATTTTTCATAATATAAATTAACAAGTTACAATGAGATTGATACTTGAGAAAATCAGATAATTTGAAAAATGTATTTTTTTATTTTTCGTCAGGTTTTAATGGTTGATCTGTTTAAATGAATTTTACGTGTTTTTGTATAAGTAAATTGTTACGTTGTATATAACATGTCACTC